AGGGCTGGGGATACAGCTCAGCGGGAAAGCGCCAGCATGGCAAGTGCAAGGTTCTGAGTTTGAGTCCCAGTTCCAAAAAAATAAAGACTATGTAATCTTTTTTTTTCTTCAAATTTGTGCCTTTGTTTTAATTTCCATTATCACTGAAGCAAGAACCTTGCTAACCAGTGCAAGAGAACACAACTGCTTTTATTTTTATTTTTGTTTTTGTTTTGGAAATAGGGTCTCACTCTGTAGTCCAGGCTGGCCTTGAACTCACAGCAATCCTGCCTGAGCCTCCTGAGTGCTGGAATTATAGGTGTGCAGGACCACAGCTGGCCACAGTTGGTTTTAGTGAAGTGTCTCCTAAGCCACAGGGGCCAGAACTATACAAATTTCAGACACAAATGCCCCCAATTTTATGGAAGGACATGAGGTAGAAGGAAAACACTCATCTGGCCTTTATGCGCCACCCTGGCAGAGCTTCAAAAGGCGCTTGGAACTTCCTGAGTGACAGGAGTGCCTCTCGTTATTCACAGTAGGCCTAGGTGTTTGATTCCCAGTACCAAAAAAAAAAAAAGAAGAAGAAGAAGAAGTGGGCACAGTAGGCCTGGGTGAGCTGCATGCTAACAAAATGACTCCTTGCCAGCCCTGAGGGGGCTCCCAGTGGAGATAGCTTCAGGGTAGGACTGGTCACAGAAAAACCACCTATCTTTCAGTCTGGGAGGGGCGAGGTGCTGGACACGGAGAGCAGTCACAAGGTCAGTGATGGGCTCAGCCCTGTGTCATAAACCGCAATAGAAACTCGGAACTAGGAAGTTCCAAGACGGGAACGCAGTGTGGTGCCATTGGGGGTGCACTGGGTGCCACAGGGGCAGAAGCTCCTGGGCTTAGAATCCTCTTAGCCCTTGCTGCCCTAGGGATCTCCTCACCGGCCTGCTCCTGTGTATCTCATAAAATGGTAGCCATTGATATAGTGATCTCAAATGTGAGTGTCATTCTTGTGAATTACTGAATTTGAGGAGGTCACAGAAGCTTCCAAATTAGTAGCCAAGTGAGGCAGAAATGGAAGAAGTTGGAAACTAAGGAGTTGCAGTTGATCCCGTTAGCCTGTGGATCCTATGCTAACTCCAGGTAGTAGAAATTAGAATTAATCAAATTAAACTCCAGGGGCTGGGGGTTTAGCTCAGCAGCAAAAGTGCCTGCCTGGCAAGCGCAAGGTCGTGAGTTCGGTTCCCGGTGCCGGAGGGGGAAAAAAAAAAAAATCAAATTAAATTCTAGACATACGTAATTTGTATTTTTTTTTTTTTGTCTTTTCTTCTGGTACCAGGAATCGAACTCATGACCTTGTGCTTGCTAGGCAGGCGCTTTGCCGCTGAGCTAAATCCCCAGCCCCGTACTTAGTATTTAAATTGCATGCCATACTGTACAGTTTGTAATACCTACATCTTGGAAACAGCCCAAATGCCCATCAACTGACGAATGGATAAAGATGTGGGTTTTTTTACACAATAGTGTACTCACTCAGCCATAAAGGATAAGCCTAAAATATTTCTAGCTAAATGGATGCACCTTGAGACCACACTCTTAAGTGAAATAAATCGGACACACCTGTGTAAATACTGTTTTGTTTCTCTGGTGTGAGAAACTGAAAGTGTAAATAAGAATGAAAATGTGTGATAGATATTGGGAAATGGGAAGATAATGTTCAAATGAGAAAGGGAACAAGGGAGGAGGGAGGGAAGGAGAAAAAAATAGAAGGAAAAAATGGAAACAAAGCTTTTGTCAATGAGGGGAAGAGGGGTTGAAGGGGCCGGGTGTGGTGGTACATGCCTGTAATCCCAGCACTTGGGAGGCTGAGGCAGGAGGATTGTTGCAAGTTTGAGACCAGCCTGGGCCACAAAGTGAGCTCAAGGCCAGTCTGAACTGCATGGTGAGACCCTGTCTCAAAAAGACCCCCCCCCCCAAAAAACAAAGGGTTGAAGGGAAGGGAATGGGAAAAAAAGAAGTAGCAAGATATATCACATACAAGTATAAATTTCCTATGATGAATGTGATTCGGATATCTAAAATGTACCAATAAATTTTTTTTAAAATGCCAAAAAATTGCATGCCATTCTGAGTAGCATAGTGAACTGAGGTAGGATAGGAGAAACAAAGATAGGTAGAGAGAAGACAAGATGGTAGCTTTAAGAAAACTGCAGCTAGGTGCCAAGGACATAGCTCAATGGTACAGCATCTCCCTGGCAAGCGCAAGATCCAGCACCAAAAAAACCAAAACCAAAACCAAAACCAAAAAAAACTGCAGCTAAGACACAAAGTCATCCAAGCTTACCCATGCCTTTTTTAGTTTCTTTCTTTTTTATGAGACAGGGTTTTGCCATGTAGTTCAGACCAGAACAGCCTTAAACTCACTATGTACCCTTGAACTCACAGTGATGCTCCTGCCTCAGCCTCCCAAGTGCTGGGATTATAGGTGTGGACTCACATGCTGGGCTGTGCTTTCATTTCTGAAGCCTGGCTTTCTTCCGGTTCATCACTTCTAAATTCCTACGAGTCTTAATGATACTATAAACCCATAAATTTGGGCCAGGGACATAGCTCAACGGCACAAGCACCTGCCTGGCAAGCATAAAGTCCTAAGTTTGATTCTTGGTACCAAAAAAAAAAAGAAATCCATAAATTCCAAAACTATCAAAGACTTCCCTGTCTCAGATAAACAATACTATTAAGGGGCTGGGGATTTAGCTCAGCCACACAGCGCCTGCCTGGCAAGCATGAGGTCGTGAATTCGATTCCCAGTACCAGAAAAAAACCAAAACAAACAGTACTACTAAATGGGTACTACATCCTCCTCCCGAGTGCTGGGATTACAGGTGTAAGCCACCACACCCGGCTCATTTTTAAACTTTGAACACATAAAGTTTGTATTTTAACCTACTAGATAGGGTCAGTTTTTGCTTTAGCCCACTAACGGGCAACCTGACCTTAAGGAAACAAGCACTAATAAATAATGAATGACCTAAAAGTAATCCTCAAACATCTGCCTTAAAGGTGCCCCAAAACCACAGCAGGCCACAAGCCCCCCAGCGCCTGCACTTTTTGCCCTTCTGTGTGTACTTCTTCAGCTCTCATTAATAAACTTGTCCATGCCACTCAGAGGTGCCCTAATACTCCTTTTTTTTTTGTTTGTTTGTTTTGTTTTTTTGTTTTGGTTTTTCTCTGGTACCAGGAACCGAACTCACGACCTTGCGCTTGCCAGGCAGGCGCTTTTGCCGCTGAGCGAAATCCCCAGCCCCTCCTAATACTCCTTTTTGTGACAAGAATCAAGAACGTACCCAGTCCAGGTTGAGGTCCCCTCTTAACAGGGACCTCTTCAGACTCTCCTGTCACTGTCCAAATTGAACTCAATCCTGGGATACCCAGTCACTGTCCCACAGTCACTGCTGGGATGCAAACGGTAAGAAGTTTCCCACCCCTTTTAGCCAGTCCTTGCTGTCTCCCGAATTTTATCGATGGATGCTATGAAAACACCACCCTCTGGGCGGGAGGGAGAAGTGGCAGCCCAGCACCAGCAGAGCCGAGGGAGGGAACCACGTGGCACCGGAAGCTTCGAAGGCAGCCAGCCAGGGCCGGTTATGTGGGAGCCCATCTCCCTGCCCCCACCTCCTCTAAGAAATCTGCAGAACCTGAAGCCAGGAGCTCACTTTGTAACCCTATCACCCCCAGTCCAACATGGCCGATAAGATGCCCCTGCCCTTATGGGTGGTGTGACCCACTAGGGCTTGGAATGTGCCCCTCAGCCTCCTTTGGATCTCACTGGAGACACAGGCTACATCCCTTCCCCATTTCAGCCAAGAAACCCTGGGGCCACTGGAAACAGAGCAGTCAGGACTCTGGTGTAGGCTCAAATGGGACAAGGTGACATCCACAAGTGCCATGGATCTATTCACATGGGCTGCCACCTACCCTCCCCCATGACTTGAGGGGACAAGTGTTTCCTGCTGGCCCCCCAGGCACAGAGGTTTCAGTGCTTCTTTGGATGTCAGGAGGGTGACAGGCCCTGTGGGAGCCCTGGGTCCTGGACTTTGGCCCCCAGCTGTGTTGCCCTTCCAGGCCAAGCCTCCCCTCCCCCGCTGGATCCTCCCCTCCTGTTCCTGGCCAGCCTCCCCTGCACAAAGCATGGCCCAGGGGGGCGATCCATGACTGGCGGTCCTGAGCCCTCTGAGAGGGGAACCCAGGAGGATAAAATGAAACTCAGACTCAGGATAAAGGTGCCTTTAAGGTGCCCCTGCCCCAAGGGGCAGTCTGGGTCTTGCTGGTGACTTTAGGGCCTGGCACTCAAGGGCACCACAGAGAGGACCTGTAGTTTTGTTAAATTTTCCCCAATAATGGAGATTGAACCCAGGGCCCTTGCACTGAGTGATATCCCCACCCCTTTTTTTGCAACAGGCCCTCTAAATTGCCCAGGCTGGGCTCAAAGGTTTTAGTCTCCTGTCTCAGCCTCCTAGAATGCTGGCATGCACCACCATACCCGGATATGGGACCCATTAAAACGACACTAGCTCATCTTCCTCAAGTCTATCCAGAGGATCACACTGTACTGCTCCAAGCCTGACATGGGATGCCGTAGTGGCGGGTCAGGGAGATGGCCCTGGGTCACAGCTGGCTATCTCTCCCAGGGGCTGGGTAGAACAGGGTGGCTCTCCCTCAAGCCACAGGTGAGACCCTCCATGGGGCAGGGATGGGAGCCCTTAAGCTCAGGGTCCTCCCTGCATTAGTCCTTTGGGTGCCAGTCTACAACAGAGCCGTAGACTGCAAAGCTGATGGTCAGCTCTGGGCAGGGAGACACAGAGCTCAGACTTCCGAGGCCACTGGCCCCATCTCCTGTGCCTGGCTTCCCCCAAACACTGGTAGCCCTGTCCATGCACTGCGCATGCCCAAGACCAACAGCTGCCCACAGAAAGGTGTGCTGCAGGCAAGGGAAGGAAGAGGCTCCCCTCCCCTGGACCTGGAGGAACTGTGAGTAAAACCAGCCAGCTTTAATACTAATATAGTTCTCTCTTTTAAATACATGTTCCCCAGACAGAGCCAGGGGCAGGCTCTTGGCAGCAATAGTGCAAAGGAAATGTGGGACGACATGGAATGAATCGGCAGGCGCCCTCATCAGCCTGGGTCCCCACACCAGGGATGGGGTGACCTGCAGGGAGGGGTGGTGGCGGCAGCTTCCTCTGGTCCAGTTATTGCTGAGGCTGGGCTCCCTCTCTCCCCGGCCCAGCCCCATAACACTTCTCAGGATTATTTCTGTCTCCGGCTTAGCAGAGAGGGACCACTATCCCCACTGGGGCAGCTAAGGCCTGGGCTGAGCTGGGGCTGCTCAGTAGCTGCTCTGGTGGCCGGTGAGGATGTACAGGTTGCTGTGTGCTCCCGGGTTGTCGGTGGGAATGCTCTCCAAGATGATGTCTCTGTAGGGGAGACGGCAGGTGAGAGGCAGGAGCAAGGCATGTCCACCCCTCCTCCTCTGGGCCAGGGGTGGCTGCAGGGCAGGCTGGGGTGCCCCGCCTACCTGTGGGCCCCCAGCACTCGGAAGATCCTTGTCTCATCAGTGATCTCCTGGGTCACCTGGGAAGACAAGGAGCCCTGAGGCTACCCCAGCAGGTCCCCTCCCAAGAGGCAAGGACAACAGCACACCCCTAAGCCCCACTCACCTCGTTGGTGTCCAGGCTGCGGCCCTGCATGCCATGGCTCCAGAAGGCCAGCACACTGTCCTGCAGGCACACTGCAAGGGCGGGTACTGTCAGCCCGTGGCTGCTCCGAGCACATTGGCCAACAGCCCCAAGCGAGGGCTCAAGTCTGGGCCACAGAGGTTCTCACCCTACCACACGCTGGGGATGTTCCCGCCCCACCTCCGGCTCACTCACCCACAGTCTCGATGGGGAAGTCAAAGGTCAGTTCAGGGGCCAGTGTGGCTGTGGGCTCGCCCTGCAGGTTGACGACCCTCACGCAGCCTGCCCGGGGAGAGGGCTGGTGGGTGCGGTGGAGCAGCTTCCCTCTCCCCACGGTCACCCCAGCCCTCACTCCTGGAGCACTCACGTTCAAAGCTGACCAAAACTGTGTCCCTGTCCACCTGAATCACCTGCTGGGCTGAGCCTGGGATCCCCTCTGTGGGCAGAGAAGGGAGACAAGGCCTGGCTTAGCCCTCAACTCACTCTGACCCCAAAACGCACAGGGACACGCTATAGGAAGCCCCACTTAAGAGTATATTTCAGCTTGTGGCTAATCTCACTTAGGGAAGATAAGGGACTGCCCGAGGTCCCAGGGAGTAGTGGGGAGGCTCAACAGTCAGGAAAACCAGGATGTGGCACTCAGTCACCCAGGACCCGGAACAAGTCACTTCACCTCTGAGCCTCAGTTTCCTCATTGGTAGCCCAAGTGTACTGATGCCTTCCTTGCAGGGCCACCATGAGAACTGGAAGTGAGACGCTGTGAGTGAAGCTGCTGGCAGGGCCAGGTACCAAGGAGGGAGCGTTCCCTCTCCTCTCCCAGCATCTCCCAGCGGCCCCACACCTGCCCTGGCCTCCTTGCTCCAGGCAGGGGCCTCTGTTTCCTGCCTGAGTTGCCTGTTCCTCCTCCCCTGAAGCAGCCGTGAGCATAACCCCTTTTTCTTAGCTCCTAAACCCTGGGGTCTAACGAAATCTCTTTTGTTTGTGACAGGGTCTCATGTTCCCCGGGCTGGCCCTCAGTTCCTGGGCTCCTGTGATCTTCCTGCCTCAGCCAAGTCCCTGGGCCCCACTGGTTAAGACAACAGGGAGAGCCAGGGATATACTGAGCAGCATAGCACCTGCCCGGCAAGCGCAAGGTCATGAGTTTGATTCCCAGTATCAAAACAAACAAACAAACAAAAAAAGAACAATAGGGGCTGGGGATTTAGCTCAGTGGCACAGCACCTGCCTGGCAAGTGCGAGGTCGTGAGTTCGATTCCCAGTACTGGGAAAAAAAAAAAAAAAAAAAAAAAAAAGTTTTACCAAACCAAAAAAAAAAAAAAAAAAAAAAAAAAAAAAAAAAAAAGAACGATACTAAGACAACAGGGAGGAACCACAAAGCCTGGCTTTGCATAAGGAATCTGTCATGGGAGCCCCGCAGAAGCACACTGAAGAGGGGCTGGGAGTTCCACACCCTGCCGGGAGGCCTTCAGGCCCCCAAGGCCACTGTGGAGCCACAGGCTGTGGGGAACCTGGTTTGAGATTGCAGCACCCCCTTCTGTCTCTCTCACACACCCCTTGCCCGAAGCCCAGAGTTGCCACTCGCTCACCAGGTGGGATGAGGAGGTCCGGAGTCAGGCCAGCCTCCAGGGGCAGGACATGGAACAGGACTCGGCAGCCGGGCCCCTCAGGCCCTTCGGCACCTACACACACCTGGGGCAGCTCCTTCCCATCCAGCACCAGTGGCTCCAGCATCCCAGCTGGGCTGGGTAGAGGGCTGGAGAAGTTCTAGGGTACAGCAGGGATGTTGGGGTCTCCATTCTGCCCTCAAGCCCCCAGCCCCATGGTCCCCAGGCACCTCTCAGCGGGCCCACACCTTTAGCAGCAGGAACTTCTGCAGTGGCTCATACCACTGCAGCAGGAGCAGGCTGGCGGGCAGTGCAGCCAGTAGGAAGGTGCTGCCCGTGTAGGGGTTCCGCACTGTGGAGAAGCAGCCATGGGCACAGGCTCGGCCCGAGCCCTGCCATCCCAGGCCCCTGGCCCACTCTTACCCACACGACACTGCAGGCAGCCTTTGGTGTCTGGGATCTTGGTGGACAGTGCGAAGCGCCTGTAGGGGTGACAACCGGGACATGTGTTGGGGAGCCGTCCATGGGCGGGGATTCCAGAGTCCTATGAGGTGCCACTGTCATCTTCCCACTTCACAGGTAAGAAGCAGAGGCTTACCGAGTGTGGTGGTGCATGCCTATAACCCCAGCACTCTGCAAGGCTGAGACAGGAGGATGGCAAGTTTGAGCAGACCCTGGGCAAATTAGCAAGACTGTTTTTTTTCTTGTTTGTTTGTTGTCTTTTTGAGACAGGGTCTCGCTATGCAGTTCAGGCTGGCCTTAAACTCACTCTGTAGCCAAGGCTGGCCTTGAACTCGCAACAATTCTCCTGCCTCAGCCTCCCGAGTGCTGGGATTACAGGTGTGTGCCACTACACCCAGCCTTAAGACTGTTATGGTTTAGATCTCCATGTACCCACAAAGCCTTGTGCTCTCAGGGTTGGGGGCTTGTGGAAGATGACTGGATTATGCTGTACTAATCCAACCCACCGTGGTACCATTGATGGCTTGGTGTCAGGAGGTGGGGTCTGGTCAGAAGATGTGGACCACTGGGGGTGTGGCCTGGGCTGAAACTCCCTCCCCAGCTGCTGCCTGCTCCAGCTTCCTGACTGCCCTGAGGGGAGCAGCTCCCCCGCACCCAGTCCTTTCCACAGTGCCTCCAACCACGCAAGGACTGAAACTTCTAAAACAGGAGCCAAAATAAACCTTTCCTCCCTTTAGTTGTGGGCATCAGGTTTTTTTTTGGGGGGGGGATCAGGTGTCTCAGCAAAAAGAAAAGTGACCAGGACAAGAGACCCTGTCTCAAAGTAAGAAAAAGAGCTAGGGATGTAGCTCAGTGCCAGAGCTCCTCAGAGTTTGATTCCCAGGATTAAAAAGAAAAAAAAGAAAAAAAAAAAAAAAAGAAAGAATAAAGAAGACATCTGTAATCCCAGCACTTGGGAGGCTGAGACAGGAGGATCGTTGCGAGTTTGCGTGACCAGCTTGGGCTACAAAGTGAGTTCAAGGCCAGCCTGAATTGCATAGGGAAACCCTGTCTCAAAAAGACCAAAAAAAAAAAAAAAGAGAGAGAGAAACAAAGAAACAGCACAAGGCCTGCTCCTTGTTGCTTTGGCCAGGACTACCAATCTGTAGGACAATGGAGAAATTGGCTTCTTGCCCAGGGAGAAAGGGTGAAGGATGGCTGTCAGAGGTGTTTGCTTGGGTTACAGGGAGTCCCCAAGCTCCAGGGGACCCTCTGAGCCTGTTTCTTCCTCTGGGAACTCGGGTAACAGGGCTACATGCTGGCCCTGCCAGCCCCTCCCCATGGCCTAGCCCTGCCTCTCCCTCCGCCAGGACGAGGCCCCAGGGAGGAAGCTGCCCTCTGTCCTGCCTTTTTCCTCCCACTCTCCCCCAGCTGCTCTTTGTGTGGGACATGGCATTATCATCATTTTGTGTTTGGTTTCCCCCTTAACAATTCCGGTTCGCCCTTCTGTACATTCGAAATGGACACTGACTGATTTCCCAGACACACTTGCAGAGGCTCTGGTGGGCCCTGGGCCAATTCAGAGGCTCACTGGGGAATGAGCTCAGGAAGCCCCAAGGCCATAGGGCAGCAGGTGCAGGAAAGGCCTGGGCCCTCCTGTCCTTCCCCAGATGGTGCTGCACTGGCCTGGCCTGCCTTGTCTCCCTGCCTCCTAGCCAGCTTCTACCATGACCTACCTGGTCACAGCAATGACAGAGCCATGGCCTGGCCCCCATCACCAAGCTCTAGTCCTATCCAGACATGGACACAGAGAGGTACTACTTGTACACCAAATAACCTTTTTTTCCCTTCCAATACTGGGGATTGAAACCAGAGCCTTCACACTAAGCTACATTTCTATACCACTCCCCATTTTTTAATTGCTTATTTTGCTAAGTTGTTAAGCTGCCACGCTGGCTGGAACTTGTGATCTTCCTGCCTCAGCCTCGCAGAGTGCTGGGATTACAGGCCTGCAGCACCAACACTGGCTGAGTCAGAATCTCCGCGTGGACAAATTGAATTCAGCTCCCTCTGAAAGCCACTCCACCCCAGCTGATGACAGCTCCATCCTGCCTGTGGCCCAGGCCAGCAGCCTTGGAGTCAACCTTGACTCTCCTTTCTCTTCCATCCACTACCTATCATCAGGAAATCCTGCTGTCTCAACTTGCAAAACAGAACCAGAACCGGACCAGTTTTCATATCCTTCACGGTAACCCCAGCCCATTCCCGTCACCTCCCAGCTGATGCTCGCCAGGAGCCTCATCCTGTCAGTGTCTGCCACCCCGCAGCCAAAGCAACCCTGGAGCATGTCCACGTGCACTGGGCCTCAGCAGTGACTCCCCTGGCCGCGCCCCCATGCCAACCATCCCCAGACCCTGCTAATCCCCCTCCTGGCTGGCCGCTTCTTAGGGGCCCTCAGCCCAACCACACTGGGCCACTAAGCTGGCCTCCTTTCCTGTCCCCTCCCCTCCTCTGATTCACCTTCCCACTGGGCACCAGAGCCTACCAGCCTCTGCTTGTCAGCAGCCCAGACTCATTGCTAAGAGGATCAGGACGTTCCTTTGGGTGAAGCTCATGGGTTCTTCCACCCCTTTCCTGATCTCCTGAATAGGACCCAGGTCACCGGCCGGGCCAAGGAGCCCCTCACTCCCTGATCCTAGTGACTGGCTCAAAGGTGAGTAGTCAAGAGCTGCACAAGGATCCTCTTGGTACCACTGAAGCGCGGATCCAGCTGAGCCTGAAGCGAACCTCACCCCTGAACTTGCAGTTGCATGAATTGCGCATCTCGCTTTTGCGCCTAAGTCAGTGGGTCGAGTCACCCACGGTGGGAAGAACTGTGATCAGCACACACGGGGCCTTTAAAATGCTATAGCACTGCTGCTGCCAGTGGGACAAGGGCCATACCCTGGGCCTGGCGGGGAAGGGTTCTCCCCATCCTGCAGGCCAGATGCCTTGGAGCTCCCTAATCCCCTGGCCCCTTGCTGCACAAGCACCTGCTGTCCTTTCTGCCAGGAGCAGTTCCCTGGCTGACTGCTGGGAAACATCAGCACTTCAATCCTCTGCAAGCTAAGACGGTCTCAGTCTCCAGTTCTGCGAGGTACCGGGTATGCCCAGATCCCCCATTCTTGAAAATAAGAACTTGTTTGACTCATGATATGCTGAAGCCCAACATAGACCCTACAGAGCTCATGTGCTCCGTGCCCATTTTTGTGGCTGTCAGACCAAGTCCCACATCCTGATGGCCCTGGCTCCCACAACCTACAAAAGCACTTTGACACCCATGGTCCTCCTTGTTGCTTTTGCTTTTCACAGTACCAGGTGTTGAACACAGGGTCTCTGCACTAAGCTATATCCCCAGCCCTGTGTAATTTTATTTTGAGGTGGGATCTTGCTAAGTTACTAAGTTTTCCAGGCTGGGACTGAACTTGAGATCTTCCTGCCTCAGCTTCCCAGAATGCTGGGGATTACAGGCTTGTACCACCATGCCCAGCCATGGGTCCCCTTCTCATCTCCAACAATCCTGGGAGCTGGTAGGGAGACCATCGATTGTACCGACCAGGCTCAGTGAGAGCAAGGGATGAGTGACACATCCAAGGCCCCACCAGTGCCAGGGCTGGTGAGGCCGCACCCCAGCCCCGCTCTGCCCCTGGGCTGCCACCCTGCACACGCGGCACCCTGACCTGGGGATGATGCGCTGGGTGAGGCGATTGGTGGGGATGGTGAGGGGGGCCTGCTGCTGTAGTCTCCGCTGCTCAAACAGGCCAGGGAGGTCGTGTGCCCAGATATGTGTGGACTTCCCTGCCAGGGCCAGAGAGGGACAGGTGGGCTCAGAGGGCGCCCAGAGAAGGCACTGTGGTGCCAACCTGCCCGTGCCGCCTCCTACCTGAGAGTGACAGCAGCACGTTGTTCACACAGTAGAGCCAGGAGCAGCGGTGGGAAATGAGCTGGGGGAGAGTCACGCGGAGGGAGGGGGACACGGTCAGCACCTGGGCCTGTGACCTCCACCTCCCCCCCACCGGCAGCCAGCCTCACCTTCTCCAGTGTGTCCTCGTGCAGCTCGTGCAGGTTGAGAGTGTAGATGCCCTCCTCGGCCCCCACCACCAGGAACTGGTCTGCCCGTGTGGCCGTGGGGTCAGAGGTCAGTCATGACTGCAGCCCAAGCCCAGGGACAGCCAGCTCCCACTCCTTCACCCCGGCCTACCTCGAGTGACAGGGTGGACCCAGGTGACAGCAGTGTGGATCCGCAGGGGGCAGCCATTGAAGACCTTGGAGAAGCAGGCGCCCATCTGCGGAGGAGAGAGGCTGCCAAGGGAGCCAGGGCCGTGGCAGCAGGGTACAGGGCCTGGGCTGTGGGACAACACTTACATGCACTTTGGGGGTGGGGGGCAGTCCGTGGCAGGCAGACCTCTGGGAGGAAGAGGAGGAGTTAGGGCTGGGGTGATGTGCATCGTCCATTGCCCACCCCTGTCTGTGGCCCCCTCACCTCAGGATCGTCCCGCTGCTTCATGGTGGCCCAGGCTGTAGGCAGCAGCGGGGGGCTGTGGGGCCCTGGTGGGGGAGGGGGCAGAATTCCTGCGGGCACAGGCTGCTGTGAACTCAGCCTGTCCTGCCTGTACCCGGGCCTGCTCTGGCCTCCTGGGCCTGGGACTTACCTGGGGGGCTGGAATGAGGGTCCTCAACTGTTGGCTCAGTGGGGGGTGGCCCCAAGAACGGGGCCCGCTTGATGGTTCCCATGGCATCATCTGGGGACTCCGCCTCCTGGCAAGAACATGGAGAGTCCAGGTGGCTGTCGGCAGGTGACCCCATGGCTTTGATTCGTTAGCCACACCTGGGCACCTTCTCCCGCTCCCTCTACTGTGCACCTGCAGTCCCGAGGCCGGCCTGATGGTCAGGCTCCTGGAGGGACAAAGCAGAGGGCTCTGAGTATGAGACGGGACTGGCATCCAGGCCTGGCTGTCCCTGCCCTGTCCCAGGTGCCGTCCCTCACCTTTCCTCCAGCGCCTCCTGGACTGACTGCAGCAGGCTCCTGGGCAGGAGGGAGCGGGGTCAGAGGTCAGCCTTTCTGCCCCCGCCCCCAGCCTGCAGCTCCCCTCCTCCTCACTTACCTGCTCAGCTCCTCCTTTCCCAGAAGTGTCCACTCTTCCTCCCACTGGGGAAAACCGAGGCAGGGAACCCAGGAGAGCGGCGGGGAGACACAAAGTGAGAAGGCAGTTGATATGGCGGGGGAGGAGAGGATAGACAAACGGATGGACAGTGGGGTGGTACTAGGCAAGAAACTTGTGAGAAATGGTGAATGAGACAACCGATGACAGAAGCAGGGCAGGATGTAGGTGGGGACCTGGGCTGATGACAGGCAACATTTTGAAAGGTGTGGTCACCCTGCCACTTTCCAACTGGCTGTCCTTGAAAGGAGCCCCCAGTCCCCAAGTCCCTGAGTGCTACAGGAAATGCCTGCTTTAAAACACCTTGACTTGAAGGGCTTGACCTGCACCCCAGCCCCTGCCCCAACCCTTCTACCCTGTGCAGCCCAGCCCTCACCGGCTCATTGAGGGGGTCCGTTTCCTTCCTGCGAGGGGCACCAAATTTCACCTGGTGAACTGGGGGGGGGGCGGCAAAGCACACAGGTTAGGGACCCAGAGCCTCCAGACTGACCTCCATGTTCCCGACACACGTGCACATGGCCCCGCCACCAGACTCACACTGGATCTCGGAGGGTGTCCTCTCGGCTGGGCCGTGCTGCCCCCGCGAGTGTATGGTGTCTGGAAACATGTCATACGCCTAGGATAGAATAAACCCAAGGTGCTCCAACCTAGTGTCCACTGCAGCCAGGAATCCTTCTAGGTGCTTTACGTGCACTGTGATGTTCTGCTTTTCACAACTCCTTGAGGCACCCTCACTTCACAGATGCCAAAACTGGCATGGAGAGATCAAGTAACTTGCGAAAGATCACAAAAAAGCAAGAGCGCTTAGTCACGGCCACGGTCCGCTTAGTCATGATCATGGTCAGCCCGTGGTTCCCAAAGATGGGAACCTGTCAAGGGGAGTGGGAGGGAAGCAAGGTCCAGCTCAGGAAAGTCTCCTACCGAGAGGGTACAAGGGGATGAAAGGGGCCTTGACCTGGGTCCCCTCCAAGCTCCTTCCCACCTCCAGCCCTGTGCTTACCTCCAGCTCACAGTCTTCAGGGGAGAGGGTTCCCAGCTGGGGGTCACTGGCCTTGTCCAGAAGCTGGGTAAGGAGGACCCGAGGGAGGTGCTGTGTCGTAAATGGGTGCTGAAAGAGCAAGGGGGCAATCAGCTGGGCTCCATCTTCCAAGTTCTGCTTTTGAGCGCCAAGCCCCAGGCCTGCCCTGCCTCCCACCTGCAGAAGCTTCTCAGCTGTGGGCCTCTTCTTAGGATTCTTGGTCAGGGCCAGCTTGAGGAAGTGGTGGAAGTTCGGGGTCCTAGTGGGCACAAGAGGTCCCACCAGACCCAGGTAAGGCCTTGTGAAGGGAAGCTGCTGGGGGCCCCCACCACTGCTCTGGGGCCCGCCCAGGAAGAAGCCAGCCTGAGCGACGCTGTTTCGACACACTAGCGCCTCCACCGCCAGCCACCTGCCCTTCTTTCCTATCCACATGGCGTCCCGCCCAGAAGCGGCTCCAGGCCCCTGGTCGGGAGGGTCTGTAGACGACTGGAGAACAGGCTGCCATGCTGTGCCCAGGAGCTGGCAGGTGGCTCCTCCTCCCCTGGGGTCCTGGTTGAAAAAGGGGTGTGAGCTCTCACCAGCGTGTCTTTTCTCGCAGCTTGGGTGGTTGGAAGTTGCTCTTTGACATGAGTATCAAGGCCCTGAAGAGGTACCAAGTCAGGAGTCAAGAATCAACAGTAGTTGCTAGGTCAGGGGTCAAGGGTCAGCAGGACAAGGGTCAGGCAAGGGCATGTCTCAGACTGACCTCATGGGGTGCAGGTGGAAGAGAGGGGGCTGCAGCTCAGCCAGCTCAATGGCAGTGATACCCAGGGCCCAGACATCACACAGCTCGTTGTAGCCACCCTTGCGCTCCACAGCGGCCACCTCCGGAGCCATCCTAGAGGCAGGGTCACAGATGAAATGCCCAAGTGTCCCACCTATGGCCACTGTCCCACCACCCAAGACACAGCCTCACCAGTATGGAGTCCCAATGAAAGACCTCCTCTTGGCCACAGATGCTGTCAGCTCGCCTGATACGCCAAAGTCAGCTGCAGGGAAAGTAAGCTGCTCTCACTAGTCCTCTGGTCCCCCTCACCACCCCACCCCCAGGGCGCAGGCTCAGGATGCACTGGCAGGGCAGAGAAGGGTGGGCAGCCCAGGTCCAGCCACACCTGCCCCAGGCCTAAGGGCCCAGGTCAGGTGCTTCTCCTTCAAGGGTCAACCAGCTTCTGTCCCTAAGTGCCTGGCCCCACATCCAGCTCTACCTAGACCCAACCTCATCCAACTTCCAGCAGGAAGTACCACTAGGGCTTCTAAGTGGGTAAGCTGAGGCTCAAGTGGTAAAGTCACTTGTCCAAGGTGACCCCATGCTTAAAGCAATGTTTTCTCTGACACTTCCAGAGCCCTCACCCTGACTGCATCCCCCGGTACTGACCCAGCTTGACATCACCCTGGAGAGTGAGGAGAAGGTTGGCTCCCTGTGGGAATAAGGAGAGAGAGTCCTATGGGGTGCCCCAGGGCCGCTGCTTCCCCTGCCATGCCCTCGGGCGACCCCTACCTTGATGTCTCTGTGGATCTTCCCTTGAGAATGCAAGTGGTGGAGACCCTGGGGGAAGAGAGGAGTTCCTGAGAGCAGCTGCCTAGCATTAGCCCCCTCCTCAGCTCCTCCTCAGCACTAGTGCCCCCCACGCAAGCTGCTCCTCTCTCCCCAAACAGGAAGTGGCTGAGCCAAGAGGGAAACGGGCTGCTTCCTGCAACAGGGCTGGGGCCCCTTCCCCGAGGACCCACGGTCCAGGCCAGTTCTGCCTGAGGGACTCCCCGCTGGCTCTGGGCCCTGGCTCCAGGGACCCCACGAGAGCATCTGATGGGGCCAAATACCTTCAGTGCCTCTCTGCAGACATAAGCAATCTGTCGTTCCTCCAGGGGCCCGGTGGCTGAAATGGAAAGGTGAGGCATGCTGGGAGTCTGGGGGATCTGGTGACCCTCCTCAGCCACCCTGTGAGAGGAGCAGTGGGCATTGCTAGATGAAAGGGATGTGAGCCATATTTCCTCTCAGGCTACTCTGGGATTCTAAGCCCAGAGAAGGACAGCATTTCTCTCAAGGTCACACAGGCAGTCAGGAGTGAAGAGGAGCCCGAGTGCAGACCAGACTCTTCCCTCCTGACCCCACTGTGAGGGTGGGGGAAGAGGTGTGGTTCTCACCATGGTAAATTTCCTGCAGGGACCCCCCTCCACAGAACTCCATGCAGATCCACAAGCGGTCATTCCTGGGGTGGGAGGACAACACAGAGCTGGGATGGGGACACAGCAGGCCACATAGGGGTTGCTGGGGTAAGAGGATAAAGCAACCTCACCTGAGGTAGCTGCCAATGTAAGCCACCACATTGGGGTGGCGGCACTCACGGAGGATGGTGATTTCCTGCTGGAGAGAGCTGATGTCGTCCCCTGGGGAGCACAAGACATCACGAGGGGACCAAAGAGGGGTAGCCAGAACTCAATGCCCCATCTGCAAAATGAGAGCGTGCCTCCCTCTCCCCGCACAGGTGCCAGGCCACGGTACCTCCGGGACTCGCCTCTCAGGGGGTCTGGAAACGTCAACTCTCCGCCCCCAGCAGCGAGCCCTTCCGCGCCCTGCCTCCCTCTGGCGTGTAGGCCCCTCCCGGGCCCTCACCTGGGTCGAGCTTGACGATCTTCACAGCAGCCAGCTCGGATGTGACCGTGTCGCGAGCCTGCGGGGCCGGGGCAGAGGGGATGCAGCGTGATGAAGCGGGGGCGGGGCTGGGGGCTGGCTGCGCGGCGGGGGCGAGCGGGCACCCTCCACCCTGGGCTCCCGCGTCCTGCCAGCCGGGGCACCTTGTAGACGTCGCCATAGGTCCCGGCCCCTACGCGTTGCAGCAGCTCGAAGCGGTCCCGCGGATCCTGCAGCGACACGTCCCGCAGCAGCGCCATGGCCCGGCGCCGGGCGGGCGCTAGC